TTTGGCTACAGGGCACATGCGCTCGCCAGAAAGACAGAGAGAGACAGAGATGGAAAGCAAGAAATCACCCCCCAGGGAGGATGGCCACGCCGCAACCCCTTCTCCTCCGTTCTCCTCTCGGGATCTTGGGCACGCATGCACACACGCCCGGCGTGAATTTAAGCCACCGGGTCTGGGACTTGAACTGCGGTCGACTACATGGGAGTCTAGTGACAGCCATTACGCCAACTGCTGGTCCCAAAATAATTTCTTATTTATTAATACATCTAACTATTCTACATCTTTGTGAGGTACAATATAGTTTTTCAAAGCATGCATGCAGGTGAGATAAATAGTCCCTAAAACTTTAAGTAGAAATTTTAAAAGACTAGATTTCCTTTTTGTTTTTTAAACTTCTAAAAAGCCTGGTAAACAGAATCGAATGATATTGTTAAATAATGACTGGTCCCAATAGTTGTAGAGAACCTTTGTAATCATACCTGCTGGTATCTGGACACTGGGTACATCAGCTTCACATCCAGTTTGGGATTGTACTGAGCAAGAGATTCATGATGATAGTGGTTAATAAGCTCCACCACAGAAGTAAATGTCAGAGGATCAGAAAAGCCATATTTACCATCCCGATGATAGATCTTTATCAACTTATTATTGCCTCCCTTCCTGTGAACGACAAGACAACTGTTGATTTTTTTCCCAAAAAAAATTCTATTAAAGTATCACTTTCACTTGGAAATATGAAAGTTTGGTGTCACATAGTAAACAAGCTTTACTATGTATTATTTCCACATCTATTTCCTTTGTTCATAAACTACTTTGGTTATTGAAGGTCAACATATCTATATAGCATTCAGTATCAACAAATTTAGTGAAAAAAGAAAAAGAAATTACTTAAGGAAAGTGACTAAAACAGAATAACTAAAATAAAAGTAAATTTTATTTTTTGTTTATTTACTAAATGTTTTTTCTAATTTAAATTCTATCAATACATTTTCAGGAAGAAAAGAAAGAATCCTTTAGTATCTAAAGATGTGGTTGTATGTTTTCACGAGGGAAGAAGAAACCATCTTTATAAAGGACGATGACAAACATTTGTTACACAATACTCGAGATTTTATTGTTAATGCACACACATAATTAAGCTCTTTGAATGATTTATAGCCGAGTAATGAAACTAGCACCTTATATTGTTTTGTCTTTTATGCTTGTTTATAACTCATGAAATGACTAAGTCATCACAACCCGTAAATGCTTCAAGTCATTCATAGTTTACAAAGTATAGCTTTAGAAAAGCCATGTATATTAAACGGGTGTGATTTGATGCTTGACTAGTTCAGACCACCTTTGTTCACTATGTCATATCCTAATGGTCCCTTAAAACATAATTTATAACCAAAGTTTAAAATAGTAATCTTTTGCAAGTCCCATAAGGCACAATCTAAACCTACTGCAGGGTGATAAACTGTACCATGGCAAAATGCTGTACCATTCCCCCCCAGCTCTTTTTACAGCAGCAGTCAGACTCAGTGCAAAAAAGACGCCTCCTGATGTCTCTATGCCACATTATTACACGTGATCAATGGAGTATGGGAATTTGTGGAAGGTCAGAGTAGGTTTGAACCTATAGATTGATTTAAATTAAACAATGCTTAGAAAGTCAGTATTTAGACAGATGAGCAACCATTCTTACAAAATGTATGTCAGAAGGACCACCTAGTCTTAGGTAGTTACTACAGGGGTGTATAACCACATATATACTCACAATAAATGCAAGCTCATCTCAGTTAAAGTCAACCCATGCATTCATTCAAAAAAATGTGTTAAAGTGCCAGATGGCGGTGCAGTGGTAAAACATGACATTCTGCAAGGCAGACCCAGGTTGACAGTTCATGTCTGGAGACTTTTCAGAGTATGCTGGGCACACATGTGCCCATGTTCTAAGCTGGCTGAAGCTGAGAATGGATCACAGCATCAAGATAGACTCTGATGGATGCTCTCTCTGTATCTCTCATTGATTAAACAAACACACACACATACACTTTAAAAAAACTTTCTAAAAGTGTCCAATATCTACTGTGTGCCTACAATTACTTGTGGATACAATGTTTAAATAAACCAGATCCAGTCCATGCTTTCATGGAGCTTCCATCATTCAGTTTATTAAGCAAGATAGAAAAATCCTTGAGATAGATCATAGCAACAAACAACTAGCTATATCAAATGGTAATAAGTCCTATGGAGAAAAATAGAGCAAAGTAAAGAAACCACCTCTACCACCTCTACCTGGTGGTAAAGGCATTGCTACTTTATATATAGTTTATGGAAAACCTCTCTGTCTGTTCAGGTGACAACAGAGCACAGTCCAAAATGAAGTGAGTTAGCACAGCAGAGGGAAAGGTTTTCCAGCCAGAGAGCAGCAAGTGCAAAGTCCCTGAGCACAGAGCGTGCTTGGTGTGTCTACAAAACAGCAAGGAGTCCAGTGATGCTGGGGATGAATGAGACAAAGGAGATAAAGTGAGAGATGTGAACTGACCTTAGATCACAAACCAACAGCCTGCAAGTTGCCATAAGGGCTTTGGCTTTTACTGAGTGAGATGTGGAGACACAAGAAGATTTTTAGCAGAATAATATACTCTGTCTTGTGCTTTAAAAGGCTTCACTCTAGCTGCTGAGTTGAAAAACTGTTGGGATCAGCAGTTAGCGTAATGGCTATGTCGCTGGACTCCCACGTAGTCGACCACGGCTTGCATCTCGGACCTGGTGGCTTAAACTCACGCTGGGTGTGTGTGCGGGCGTGTCCAAGATCCTGAGAGGAGAATGGAGGAGAAGGGACTGAGGCGTGACCATCCTCCCTGGGGGGTGATTTCTCACTTTCTGTCTCTATGTCTCTCTCTGTCTGTCTGGCGAGCGCACGCGCCCTATAGCGAAAACCTCTCCAAAAATAAAAAATAAAGTTGAGATGTTGTGTTCTATCCTCAATCTTCTTGAGAGAGCAGGAGAAGAAAGACTGGACCTACTTGTTATAATTTTCAAGGTGTGGGTCTGTTATGACCCAAATGTTTGTATCTCTTCTCATTCATATGTTAAATCCTTAACCCCTGTGTACTGGGTATAGAGATGGGCCCTAGACTGAAGTCAGTGGACAAGAAGAATATCACCTTTGTATTAGTGGAAGGCACTATTGCATAGACAAGCCTTTCCCT